ACTTCGTGATTGCTGTAACAAATAAACGCGCTCGTACTTCAAATATTTACCATCACTTAGGGGTTATTGTTTTGTTGGTACCATGGCACTATAATTTTTCCACCACCTTGTGGCTCCCTCGTTTTGATCATATAGTGATTTCAGTTTGATCACATTAACTGATCTACTCGCTTAAATCACGTGTTGATCCACGTCCGTCGGTATCACTTGTTGTGGTACATTCATGTTTCAATCACATGATAGTCTGATTATTTTGATCAGGTTTTGATCAAGTTCTGATCTCATTACTTCGACCACGTGCCGTGACCTTGGTCACATGTATATATCAAATTGATGATATTACACATACCTCACTGATTGTCAGTCATTCATATTTGCCACGTGCAATCAAATATTGCTTTGACTTTTATTAGCAATACTCCCTACTTTTCAAATGGTTATATTCCATTTGTATTTTTCTCTCCTTAGTTTATTTCAAGTTACTGGTTTTTCATTTTTTTCAGGTATCTATTTTCTTTATTCTCTTCCAGGACTTTCGTTTACAGATACCCTACCTAGCACTATGGAGTTAAGCCAAGAGGAAATGGAAGGTATGCTAGTAGCATTTAGGAAGATGGGTTTCCAGCCTAAAGTGGACTCGCCTAAAGACCTTAAAGCTTGGATACAAGGTATCTCACAGAAGGAGCATCCTATTAAACAGGAAGAGGAACATGAAGGTCACGCATCAGCATCACGCCGAGATGTTACTTACCAACATTTTCCTAAACTTCCCTTTTTCAGTGGCGAACCAGGAAAGGACACAGACTATGATCACTGGATCTATGAAGTGGAATGCCTTATTGGAACCAAGACCCATAGCCATGACGTCATCCTTCAAGCTATTAGGAAGTCGCTTAAAAGAGAAGCAGCTATCGTATCTATGAAGCTAGGGCCCCATGCGGATTTTGCAATTCTACTACATAAGTTGAAAAGTGCTTTTGGAACTCTGCGTCGAAGTTCTACTCTAATGTCAGAATTTTACAGTGCCTGTCAAGGAGAAGATGAGGATGTTGCTACCTGGAGCTGCCGTTTGGATCGCCTTACGTTTCAGTTAGCTAAATAGAAATCCCTTTCACAGGCTGAACAGGACGACATGCTGCGTACTCGCCTATGGGATGGACTCAATCCATCATTGAAGACTCTGGCTGGCTACAAGTACCACTCCATCTATAGTTTTGATGATTTGCGCTTGTGCCTCAGGGAAATGGAATTTGATCTGAGGAGAGGCAAGGCCGACACCTCGAAGACCAAGCCAAAGCCAAAGACAGCTTCTGTTAACATGGCAACACCATCCGAGCCCAAGGAATCCAAGAGTGAACTAACAGAGTTGAAGGCTATGGTTAAGGAGCTACACACTGGAATGACTGAGTTACAGCAACAGCAACAGCAACTCTCAGCTCATGTTTTTCAGGAGCAAGCTCAATTTTCAGGATTTTTAGGGCCTAAGCATGGGCACAGAGGAAGAGGCCAGTATAACAGCGGAAGAGGATCCACAGGTAACTGGACTCCAGTTACTACAAGAAGCGGTAACAGCCAGAATCGGTCTGATCAGTTTGGTCCTCCACCTCCAACCTATCAACAGAATTTCCCCATTCCACCAGCATCAACAGCTCCTACAGCCTCCAGATTTCAGCCAAGTTCAGAATCAGAGATTCCTACCTGCTGGAGATGTGGCTACCAAGGACATCTTTCTTATGGATGCAGAGTTCGTATGGATCATATGCGACGTCCTTTAAACTGGCCCAGGCCTATGGGGAGGGGCCACCCTTAGGTTCCTATCTGCGCCCCAGATGTGAGGTTCCAGATGGTTTAGTTGGAAGCTCCACGGAAGTAACTATCTGGATTGAAGACACACCTGTACAGACTTTGTTAGACACAGGAGCTACCGTATCTGTGATGTCACAATATTTCTACGAAAGTTATTTAAGCCACATTCCACTCAGTCCACTTGATGATATACTCAACATAGAATGTGCAGGAGGAGAGCAATTACCATACATGGGATATGTACAGGTTAGTATTACGACTACAGGCAGTGGCAATGACAGCAAAGGAGCCTTATCATGTTTAGTACTTGTTGTCCCGGACACAAGGTATAACGGACGAGTGCCGGCTCTTTTGGGAACCAACGTACTTTCAAGACTCCTTGACAACTGCCGAGATACTGTTGGTGTTCAGTTCCTTCAGCGAGCAAGACTCCAGACTCCATGGTACCTGGCCTATCGAACAATGGTTCTACGTGAAAGACAGTTGGCAAAGTATGGGAAACTTGGACTTGTAAGATCTTCAGAGTTATGTAACATCATAATCCCAGGTAACAGTACTACCATCATTAGGGGACATCTTGCTAAAGGAATTGTTTACCCACAGGTCTGTGCACTTCTTCAAGCCACAGTCAACTCAGCTGTACCAAGCGACCTTGACATTGCCCCAACCATCATCAAGTATGAGTGTGACACTCCAACGGAAATAGAAGTGCATGTCTCCAACATCACCACACAGACAGTTGTCATCCCTTCTAAGGCTTTACTTTGTGAACTCCAACCCGTCACAGTTAAGGATTTGCCTCCAGGAAAACCAGTGGACTCCGATGCTATCATTAACCAAGTGGAGATAGACAAGGAAGGACTTTCCCGTGAACAGATTGCCGATGGACTTGACATAATCCTGAAGTTTAAGGATATATTTTCAAAGAGGGATGATGGTCTGGGCAACTGTTCTATGGTAAAGCACAGGATAGACTTATATGACAACACGCCATTCAAACAGCGACATCGTAGGATCCCCCCAGCCATGTATGAAGAAGTTAGGACTCATCTTCAGGAACTCATATCACCTGGAGTCATTAGAAGGTCTCATAGCCCATGGGCCTCTAATGTTGTATTAGCAAAGAGGAAAGATGGACGTCTGAGGATGTGCATTGACTTTCGCGAGCTGAATCTTCAGACCATTAAAGATTCCTACGCGTTACCTCGTATTGAAGAACTACTTGAATGTCTTGGCGGAAATACCTTTTTCTCGGTGTTGGATATGAAGAGTGGTTATCACCAAGTGGAAGTCGAAGAAGAACACAAGCAAAGAACAGCCTTTACAGTCGGACCACTTGGATTCTTCGAATTTAATAGAATGCCATTCGGACTATCCAATGCTCCTGCAACATACCAGCGACTAATGGAAAAATGCCTTGAAGGACTGCACTTAAAGATCTGCTTGATTTATCTTGATGACCTGATAATCTTCTCAAAAACCTATGAAGAGCATGTTGAGAGGTTAGAACTTGTTTTCCGCAGGTTGCAAGAATGTGGACTCAAACTCGCTCCAAAGAAGTGCAAGTTTTTTAAGAGGAAAGTCCGATATGTGGGATAAATTGTTTCAGCAGATGGCATCGAAGCTGACCCAGAGAAAGTGCACAAGATTAAAGACTGGCCAACACCATCCAATCCAGAAGAGGTCCGGAAATTCCTTGGTTTTGCTGGCTATTATAGGAAATTTGTCAAGAACTTCTCCAAGATTGCCAGACCACTGTCAGAACTGATGCCAAAGTCAGCATCCAAGAAGTCCAAATCCAAGCAGCATTCAAACAGCATCGACTGGAAGTGGGACAAAGAACAGCAAGAGGCTTTTCAGGAGCTGAAGACTCGCTTGTCAACACCACCAGTGCCTGGATATGTTGATTTTTCCAAACCCTTTGAGCTCCACATCCACGCCAGTACTCGGGGATTAGGAGCAGTGCTATACCAGGAGCAGGATGGGCAACTGCGAGTGATTGCCTATGCAAGCAGGGGTTTGAACAAATCTGAGAGAAACTACTTTGCACATAAACTGGAGTTTCTGTGTTTGAAGTGGGCAATCTCAGAAAAGTTCAACGACTACTTGTATGGACATGAGTTTGCAGTTGTCACAGATAACAATCCTCTCACATATGTCTTAACCACTGCTCGCCTTGATGCTACTGGTCATCGATGGTTGGCAGCACTCTCTGCGTATAATTTCAGCATTAGGTACAGACCAGGGAAGAGTAACATTGATGCTGATGTTCTGTCAAGGCTGCCAGACAAGTTACCAATAGAGGAATTATCCACTGACTCTGTGAATGCCATCTGCAACGTCATCCAAGTTCCTAACCTTGTGGAAAGTATCTGCATGTCAGCACAAGTCATAGATGAGGATGATATTGATATACCTGAGGACAAGTGTGATATCAACGCCAAGGACTGGAGAAGATCACAGATGAGAGATCCATCCCTGGCTACCATCATTGACCACTTGGAATGCAGCACCAGACCAAACAGGAATCAATACACTGGAGACAGTAACATGACATCTCTCATCAAGAACTTTCCACAGATGCAGCTGCACAGAGGAGTTCTTCATAGAACAACCAAGACAGGTCAAGGAGAACAGTTGCAACTTGTCTTACCTAGTAGATGTAGAGGTGCAGTGCTGCGCAGTTTGCATGACAATGTTGGTCATCCAGGCAGAGACAGAACAGTTTCTCTCTTGAGGGAAGATTCTACTGGCCTGGAATGACCAAAGATGTTGAAGTGCATGTGCAGTCCTGTGATTGCTGCATCAAATGTAAGACAACTACATCTCGAGCACCTCTAGTGAATATTACAACATCACAACCACTTGAACTTGTTTGTATGGACTTCCTTGGATTAGAAACATCAAAGGGGGGCCAACAATATGTTCTCGTGGTAACCGATCACTTTACTAGATATGCTCAAGCTTATCCTTGCAGGAACACCACTGCAAAGACAACGGCTGAGCTCTTTTTCAACAACTTTGTTGTTCATTATGGCCTACCGAAGCGGATTCACTCTGATAAAGGAGCAAACTTTGTGGGTACCCTGATGACTGAGCTTTGTAAAATGTTGAAAATTGAAAAATCGTCAACCACACCTTACCATCCAATGGGCAACGGGATGTGTGAACGCTTTAACCGAACGTTGTGCAACATGCTAGGAACCTTGGATCCAGACAGCAAGCGAGATTGGAAGACACATGTTGGTCCACTTGTGCATGCTTATAATTGCACTCAGCATGAATCTACGGGACAGTCTCCTTTCTTCTTGATGTTTGGTCGGCACCCAAGGCTTCCTGTTGACATAGCATTTGGGCTTGACATTGAGCCAAGCAAGCCCAAATCTGTCTTGAAGTATACAAAATCTTTACAGGATAGGTTAAAGCAGGCGTATGACCTTGCAGCAGAGATGGCAACCAAAGCTCAGGAAAGGCAGAAGACCAAATACGACCAGAAGGCAAGAGCGGCAGTACTGGAGAGTGGTGAAAGAGTCCTTGTGAAGATTGTTGCCTGTTGTTGGAAAAGAATCCGGAGAAGGGAAGAGAAGGACTCTACATAGAAATCTTCTTCTTCCAATCGGGACCATATCCAACCAGGCACCATCAGTACCGACACCAGCCCATCCAGCCAGGCCAATTCCAGCTCCAAGAAGAAAGCCAGCCACTCGAGCCCAGACCATTAAGACATATGAGCCAGAAGAAACTGATGACAGTGAAGACGAATCAGTTATGATCCCGATCCACACATCCAGGTCCTCAGCATCAACTGTCAGAGCAGTTGATCGGCCAGCTGAGGGGGAAGAGAGCGCAGAGGAGATAGAAGAAGTGGATATTATGGATACAGAGGATACTGATGAGACTGCTCAGGATCATGAGCAGGAAGATACCCCTTCACCAGACCCTGGCTCAGGAGAAGAAACATCCCCAGAAAGAGACATTCCTGATGTTCCGGAACCTACCCCGAGACAAGACCCAGAAGATGACTCATCTGGAGATATTCCATCTGCACCATCGCCCCGAAGATTGACCCGGGAGAGACATAAACCAAAATGGATGAGAAGTGAAGAGTATGTTTTGTCCGCACAGCCACAGCCAGAATGGATGACAAGAGCGAGCTATCTCAGTTTCCTAATAGTTCCCTACAACTGGTAATGAAAAATTGGAGACCAACTCATTATTACAGAAAGTAATGCGTCTTAGCTGGCGCTAAAAAGGATAGACTCATTATAATAAGAAATGGGCCTCCTCAAGGGGTACCCACACATTAAAAGGCCAACTCAGGGCTCGAAAAAATTCTTAAACAAAATACGTTAAATGATGGAACTTAAAATTTATCCTGCCTGGTGCTCGGCATTAAGGGCCTTTAACAAGGCTCGGAGTCAGAATGCTTTGGCTGAGTGAGGGTAACTTAGTTAAACAGCGACATGGTATCTCAGTGGGCTAGCACTATAAAATCGGCATTAGTTCGGACTAGTACAAGTACACACACGCAGGTATAGCCATACACACAGACACACACACAAACGTGCATGCACGTCGCTATATAAGTGAAATAATATTGAACGCGACGTTTAAACCACAGTTCACCTCACCACTCTATGAATCCATCAAACTCGATTGTACAACCAATGTATCAAGGCCACCACACAACCACAACACTGTCACCATCCCAATGTTTTTTTCGCAGAAGCAACAATGATTTATCTCCTTTTTCTTTGTTTATAGGTCTATTATATTAATGGCAGCTCAACTGATACATTTTTTATACTCTCCTTATTCTATAATTCATAGTATTAATGTTACACATTGTTTTTACAGCTAGTATTAGTCTTTGTTTACTTTGTTTTGCTTTTGAGAGAATGAGGCCCAGAGAGAGAGATATTTATTATTTACGTGTCACGATATATATAATATCCACAAATCCATGCTATTAATTCATGGTAATGTATAAAATAGTGCCACGGTATTATATAAATACAACCGTACAAACACTGTATGAAGGAAAAAAAGATAAATAGCTGTGAGTTAAGATGTTATAATGTCCATACAGACTTATGACAAAAGAAAGGTTTTTCTTATACCTGAATACCAATGTTCGTGATAATATTAATACTAAACTATCATCCTGTACAATGTATTAATTTTCACACTCGTAAAAATTGTTAAACTTCGCTACCATATTACTTGCATGTGATAAAAGTTCATCTCTGAAGTCAGAACAAAAAGGACATGAAATAGAAAAAAGTGCTTCTCATCTTCAACAGTGCGAACATTACATATGCTAAAACGATTTGTGCAAATTATATCATTGAAATGATATGGTTGGTTGGTTTGTTGTTTTACGCGGCACTCAGCAATATTCCAGATTTATGACGGCGGTCTGTAAATAATCGAGTCTGGACTAGACAAGCCAGTGATTGATATCATGAGCATCGATCCACGCCATTGGGATCGATGACATGTTTCAAACAAGTCAGCGAACATGACCGCCTTTTTTATTGTGGACTTTTACGGCAAGAATGGGTTGCTGAAGATATATCAGGTGTTGAAAAATACCGTTGCCCGACGCCATGGCCAAGTAAGGTTTAGATTTAATATACGTTTTCTAGCATGCCCGTGGACAAGTAGAGCATACAATATGAACTGGGTCAAGTTTCACCAGAACGTAATCATGTGATCATGTTGTGATATTTCATTGGCTACTATTTAGCTAGTGTCACAGAATGGCAGTCTAATTTGCATACAGTTACACCAGTCAACCAATGGGATTAATACACTTCGATGTCAGGCATGAGAACTTGGCTTGTTTCATTGACAGATCGTAGTAAAACGTCCATATATGGCACATGCTTCTTGGAAATTGAATGATGGACAGTTGACTACATTTCTTGGAATTTGTAATGCGAGGTAGGTCTAATGCGGACTTTAGAAGCTTCACTTGGACTAGCTTTGATGAAATATTTTATTTGAACACACAAGTCACGCTCGAGGCTCACGCGCTCTCGATCGCGAAAACATTGTTGACACAAAGTCAGACTATCACAAATATGACTTTTAAAGATTCAAAAGTATGGCATTTAAGATACAGTGATCCCTCGCTACAACGCTACCTTCGGGGTCCAAATAATTGATGAGCGTTATAGATGATCAGCGGTTTAACCGAGGTCGAGTCGTAGGGAGTATACAAAACAGTATACATGGTCTGCCTACCTAACACGATCTACGTTGCATGTTTCAGTGTATAAAACAAGATTCGAACTGAAGTTGTTTATGCTTCATAGTGTAAAAAAAGATCTATCGAGTATTAATATGCGCTTTCAAAAAACCACATCGTATCCCTTACACTCAACAGGTATAACAAACTTGGTCAATAAAAGTATGAAATTGGATGAAAAACATCACAAGACATGATGAAGTACCATTTAGAATGTATTTGCTGCTCTCCGAGGCATTGTTTATATGCAGAGATTAAGATTACCGTGTGTATTTTCTCGTAAACTAAGCCGGAAATAGCAATCAGCTGTGCACACGTTTCCTCCCAATCTACCGGTGATTCAGTTACAAAGTACCCAATGATACAACTTCAAAGAATATTGATGCAATGGTCGGAAGAAATTGTATCTGAAATTATTATTTTATCAGGAATAATATATTCCAATATCGTGTTATTTTAGTTGCAGCTTCCACTAAATATGCTTAAAATTATAAGAACCATAAGCGTAGCACTTTGGTACAGGTGGTATGCAGGATATTTTTTCGTGTCAGTGTAAAACTTGAGTTTATTAAATATGTAAGTAAAGTTTGCGTAAGTAAAAGAGCCATGCGTTACCGAGCTACAACCGACCTAACGCTATATTGAGGGGCACAATAGTAAGGGAACACTGTCTCTGATTCTCAGTTCTGTAGATGTAACATTTTACTGAATTTAATGGTTTGATTTGGGGCAAGTACATTTTAAACTAGGGCAAGTAAGACTGTTGGTCATACTTGCCCTTGGTCAAGTACATTTTAAAATAGGGCAAGTAAGACTGTTGGTCATACTTGCCCTTGGTCAAGTAACATTTTTCTTAATTTTTCAACCCCTGATATATTCTACCCCGGATCTTCACGGATCGTTTGACACATTTACCAATTTGGGGTACGGGAGCGAACGTTTTAACAACATGGTTTCTCCATACAACACCAGAGATGTAAACTACAGAAAATAGTTTCGTTGCCGTCATAACAGCTTCTTCAACACAATTATGCTTCGTATATCATTTATCAGTTTCTTTGAAGTAAGGTCAATATATTTAAATCCTAGTTTCGGAAACTGTTTATTTCGCATTTTGGATCATTAGTGGTAGCATGACAAATACGGAACTACGATGTCAGTTGAACTAATAGTGGCAGTAACATCTCTTGTTAATTAACAATTTTTTTCTGAAGGTGTACACAGGCCCCTGGGTGTAGTACTACACAGACAGACACACACATACACACACACACACCCCGAATTATTCTTTTCAACAATTTTTCACAAGGACCTCCACACATTGACGACACCTGCATACATGCAGAGTATTTGATGCGAAACAAAATTTAGAAAAAGTAGTTTCTATGTACATGTTGTATGCTCACACTTAATAATATGCTTGAAATTCATTGACGACATTGGACAATGCCTCCCCTCCCCCCTGTAAATAGACTGGACCAGACAATCCAGTGATTGACTTCATGAGCATCGATCCACGCAATTGGGATACGATGACACGCATCAACCAAGTCAGCGACCTTGACCCCCTAGATCACGTGAGTCACCTCTTACCAAAAGCCTAGTCGCCATTTACGGCAAGCATAGGTTGCTGAAGACCTATTCTACCCCGGATGCAGATAGATTATTAGGTGATTTGGGCCTTCAGTTAGTTGGTTGGATGGTTGGTTGGTTGGTTGGTTGTCGCCACACTCAGCAATATTCCTGTTGTATGACGGCGGCCTGTACATAATCGAATCTGGACCAGACAATCCAGTGATCGATGCTGAGATCTCGCCGTCGAATTACGCTGACACGCAATAAACCAAGTATCCGAGTCTGACCACCCGATCCACTTGGTCGACTGTACGACCACCATGGGTAACTGGAGACCTATTCTAACCCGGTAACCAACGGAGCGTTGAGAGTGCTTGGGTTAAAGGGGAAGAAACAACTTCAGATGCATGGTGGTTATGGGTTAGCAATGCTACATGCAACAATGTTTGGGTGTTTTTTGTGGAAAGTTATGGATGTATATGTATGTATACTGTTGACGACAAGCATATGTTTGCTGCCGGAGTGAAAGTCTTGACAAGAGGTTTTTCCAAAAAGTTCACACACACGCAACATGTGTGCATGGTGATTATTGTTCACGTAAGGGTGTATAGATAACAGGGTTTGTTTGGTGCCTGAATCAGATTAGAATTCTCTTTGAGTTTGAGACGGGATGGCTTTCTCTGAATGCTTCAAAACATCCAATTTAAGACTTTGAAAAGGATACTAAACACCATACACGACAAATGTTATATAGGGCATCCACTGAACATAATAGTTAGAATCTATGAAGAGAAATCTTAGTGGCTAAGATTTCTCTTCATAGATTCTAACTATCTTAGAGGTTCGCCTACATTTTGATTGACAGTTCCCGTGACGTCATTATCAAGGTTGGTCTACGTCATTTGGCGCAATGACATCAACGAGTATGGACGTGTTCGATGAAAAGGGAACGTTTGATTTGTTTGTTTGTTTGCGAATGCAAATAATGAAGTGCCCAGTCTAACCCAGTTGACATCTATTCCAACCCAAGAGCTTGTGAAAATTGAACAAAACGATGGCCGTTTTATGGTGCCCTTTTCCTCTGACGACATCAAACAGGAGCAGAAAGGCGCTATTCCAAAGAAAACTAGACAGAATAACAAGTGGGCCATTAATGTTTGGAAAGACTGGGTACATTATAGAAATCAGCAAAGTACAACTCTTATAGAGTTCGGTGTGATTCCAGAAGATATTTCCGCGTTAAACAATCGAGATTTGGATTTCTGCATGCAGCGTTTCATTCTTGAAATTCGGAGGAAAGACAAGTCGCCTTATCCCCCCAACACATTGACCCAGATTGTGTCAGCAATACAGAGATATCTTC